TGTCTATATCTAAAAAGGTGTTTAAATCCTTCAAGGTCCCAAAATAAGATGGAAAAGAAACCCTAGACTCTAAAATCATGAGATCTACCCATAAAAATGAAAAAGGTATGAACTTTATACCTTAAAAAGAAGCCCGTGGATGTTTAGCAATAGATCTAATAGCCTCTTTTAGTTCGTTGCTTGAAATCCGCCTCTTCTCTTCCAAAAATGGCCCAAAGTTCTCAATAATGGGTCAATACTCCATCAAAAACTCAAAGGGGGCGATTAGGGTTTTACTCAGTGAAGGGAAGTAGATAGGGAGTCAAAAATGAGGCTATAAGTGTCCTTATATAGACCCTAAACCTGGGGATTTAGGGTTTCCTCTCATAGCGCCTACTCGGCGAGTCGACTCTCGAACTCGTTGTCACACCCCGAAACCGATGGCGGAAACGTTCGGGGGCGGAGGACGTCATGTAAAGTATCACAATCGATGTACATAGTAATCATAGTAAACACAAAACATTACATTATGTAGGAATCATTACATTTGTTTGAAAGTAAAGTGATACTTGTTTTATAGATACATTAGTTTGACAAAAGTAAAGATGTGACTTCCATATGCTCCGTCTTCTGCAACAGAACGCAGAATACCTGTGTACAGAGAACTTGAGAATACAAGTAGTTTTAAAAATATCAGCATAAAGCTGGTGAGTTCATAACCGGTTTGTTTCTGTAAAAGAACAAGCTTTCTTTGGCTTTTTGAAAAAGTTGATATCCAAGAAAATCCCATATTTTCTTATATGTAAAATTTAATTATCCATTTGTTACACAGTTTGGTGAAGAACAATTTGTTATCCGGTTATTACAAAATCTGGTTAAGAACAAGTTCGGTTATCCCAGGAAAAACCCTTATTTTCCTTAAAAGTTTGTGGTTGGTTATCGAATCTGAATGAAATGTACATGAATATACCATACTTTTAGTGTTTGTCTAAAGTTTTCTGAAAGCCTGGTTATCCTTGAAAAGTACGTTAGTTTTAACACATATATAAAACTATCAAAATAGTAAACTAATTTCTAAGGTTATTAATTTACTAAGTTCTTTATTGCTAAAAGATCATGGGCTTAGGAAGTAGCAGGTCTCATATTGTGAGCGTCTATGTCTTAAGTCATGAGATCAATCTCGAACACAAATTACATATTAAACCATGTCACGTCGTGACCACTTAATGGTCATGTTGTGACACTCAATTTTCTCCAAAAAGCTGACCTTTTGACTCCTTGAAACCCTATATAAATCCATCATGGAAAGCGGGTGTTACATCAAAGAATCCCATAGCTCTACCTCGTAGTTCCAGTACACTGGTACATCTTTCCCGTTATAATGCTCCGAGAACATTTCCCGAGAAACACCCCCGACTTTGCGTGCAAAAATCTTCCAAACAAAAACAAAACATATATATTTATACTTGCATGATATCGCACCAATTGTTAAATGGTCGTGTCACGGCTACAACCTTTCCCTGATAATTGCCACATGTATGTCCCCTTATGCCACGTGTCTCCCCCGAGTGCCACATGTCTTGGTGACTCGCCTCATTATGGTGTCGTGGTGAATATACCACCACCCCATGGTGACCAAAGAGTTGACCATTTAACTTTAAATTCTGTTCACTTTCTTACAATAGCAACGTACTTTCATCTTAACTTCAAACGACCATAACCTTCTCATACAAACTCCATTTTTGACAATCATTATATCCACGGAATTGTCTTCACATAAACTATAGTATTCTTTAACTTTATTTTACTAAAAACCAACACAAAATTAAAATCATCTTCTAGCTTTATCTCACCTACTTATCACTTAACAATTTACATCTCTTGAATAATACATGTCACGAAAAATATGGGTATTGCAAATTCCCCAAAGAACCCAAAATTGAAGTAATTAATATTTAGTGCTCTACAATGGATAATAAGATAGCCTTTTAATTGAAAAGTTTCTTTTTTAACCTTTCTAGAATCTAATTCCACTCTTAATTTTTACTGTTATTCAAAACCTACCAAAAGCCAAAGATAGAAGAAAGGGAACTTCTCCACTCTATACCCCGTAACAATTGCTAAAACCTTCACACTACTTGAAAAACAGCCTTTTACGACGCTCATTGCGCGTCGTAAAAGGCTCAGACGACGCGCAAATGCGCGTCAATGAAGGCCCTGTCATAAAGAGAGACGACGCGCAATTACGACGCGCGTTTACGACACGCAATGCGTATCAAGGAAGGCCCTGTCATAAAGGAAAACGACAGGCATTCGCATGTCATAACCTTATGACACACGTGTTAATGACACACAATGCGTATCAAGAAAGACCCTGTCAAGAAAGGCCATGTCATAAATGAAGATGACACACATTTTTGCGTATCATAAATTTAAATTTAAAAAAAAAATTTATATATTTATTAATTTTTAAATTAAATTTGCATTTAATTTCTTATAATAGAAATAAAATACAATATACAAAAAATACAATCCATTGCATAATATAAAATAAAATTTCATACTAAAAAAATAAAATAAATTGCACAAATTATAATGTCATACAAAGAATCATTCAAATGCTAAACAAAAATAATACATTGCTAACATGTGTTATTCATTCCTATAAAACTAACAAATAATCATACAACTCTGTTTCTTACTGGAAAGGAATGCGAAACATGATTACAAGTCTCCCTTAATCTTGATTACTCACCTGCTTAAGTAGAATGTTGTTGTTGAAAAGGTTACATAGCAACAGAGAAAAACACAACACCTCTCCCACAATCACAACATCATTTATAGAAAAAGGGTTGTCAATTACTTTCATTCAATCAAAAAAATATTAAATAAATGGGTGAAAAGAATAACTTACTTTTGATAAGTTGATCTCCCTTAGAGCAAACACAGCTAAAGCATTGAACAAGACCCTATTTCAAAATTTTGTAAATACACAAATCATGATAACTGATATTGGAATACACACTTTGAGACATGAATTAATACGAGTAGATTAACTTGATATTGGAATACACACTTTGAGACATGCACCATTCAGACCACCATCCAGACCTTCACCCAAATCTGGACAAGAATTACTCTCACTGCCCTCAAAAAACCCTGAAGTGAATAAAATGTTCCATAAATTATAGAAAAGGATTAAAGTACTTTTTTTACCAAATTTTCGTCCTTCCTCCCTCATATCCTCTAAAATTTCTTCATATTCTCCATCATCCATCAAATTATCAGCATTGATCACCTTCATTGCACCAAAAAAAAACCATGCTTGCTTTTACCAAAATTATTCAAAAATATCATATTTTCTCAAAATGAGGTTTTCCACATTAACCAACTCCTAACATTTTCTCAAAAATATTATTTAAACATCATTTACATTTTTTCTTTTTAAAAAAGAAAAAACATAAGGTACCTCAGTTAAACACAAAACTTTAGTTGGAATCTCATCACGTAATCTAGGTAATCCGGGAAGATTAAACCCTCCAACTTGTAAGGCCATTTTCGACAAATAAAAACATGAAGTTTCAAAGCATTGAAAGTACATAAATAATAATAATAATAATAATAATAATAATAATAATAATTAATAATAATAATAAACTCTGTAGTACCTGCATAGCTATATGTTGTTAAGCCTAGGCCATAATGGTCTCCTGTTCAGATTTCATCTGCCTGTTGCAGTAAAATAAAGAGCACCAAAAACATCAGATTTATCATAAACTTGTTCATAATAATAAAGCCCACATGGATTGAGAAAATTTTAAATTAATAATAATAATAATAATAATAATAATAATAATAATAATAATAATAATAATAAATGATATTTTAAATAAAAACCCGATGGTTGCACGTCTGACTGTGAGTGTTTATCCCCCATTTTTAAGCCATTAAGTGCAGCACAGACAATGTCTGTGGCTGCTTGATCTTGAAAATAACTCCCAAATATTTTATATTTATTGGAAGAAAGAATAACTGATAATAACGCCTTTTTTTTTAACTTAACTTAGGACAAGGTGCAAAAATGTTTGAAAACTGAGAATATTTACAGATTCATATTGTTTAATTTAAAGAAAAAAAGGGTGATAATTACCTCATAGACACATAAACCATATCCTTTAGAGTTTCTAGTATCTCTATCCTTCACAAGATCAAACCCACGCAGCGGTCTGAATCAATAAAATTCCTTAAACTTTCATTTTGTAAAAATATTTAAAAAAATCATAAAATTATAAAACTACATACCCAAAGAATTCTAGCAGCTCTCTTATCTGTACCTCAATAAACTAATACGGTAAACCCCAACAAATATATGATTAGGTCCTTCAGCTCCACCAATACCAAAAATTACACCAAAAAAAAAAATCAGATTCACAATAACAAAGAGGGGCAAAAACATCTTTTTGACTCTCATTTACCCAGGGGTAAGCCCATCAGCAACTAAATTAAGGTTTGGATTTGGTTGACTAGGGCACCACCACGATAACCACCACCACCACCACCACCACGTCCACGGTTCCATTACCAAAGACTACCTAGAAAAGATTCCAGAAAAATTAATAATGAAGAAACTATAGGAAGACGGAAGATCAGAACAAGAACAAGATCAAATCATGGTCCTATATTTGAGTAATAAATAACTTCCTTTCCCAAAATTTTAAAATAAAAAATGATAAAACAAACCTCAAGAAGCTTTGGCTCACTGCTGGAATGAAGATAATGAGACACTCTGTCCTTTTCTCTTTTTAAGCACTCCTCTGCCTGAAATTCCCAAAAAGATTCTTGCATTTTACAAAATATAATCTTTAAATATAAGTTTACTTTCAAGATCTAAAAGGGTATTAGATGTATACTTTGAACATATAATCTGGACAAGAATATTCTAGAATCCAGTTGGAAGCCTTGCGTGAATATTATGATGTTGTATCATTAAGCATGGGTGCTTCAAAATCATTCTCATAGTACTACATTTGTCCCATTCCTATCTCCACAAATATATCTAGAACATTCTTCAGTAAAGCCCTATCAATCTGCTCCCTTTCACGCTCTTGATCAACACCTAAGCCCAATCCTTTATTCTGAAATGAGGAAATAGGTTGATGAGGAGCACCTGTACTTTGATAGGCTCTTTCTGGCTGAACATATGTTTGACTAGGCTGAACATACATTTGACTTGACAGATTTGGCTGTTGCTGCTGTTAAGGGTATGATTGATTTGTCACGGGTACCTGAACAACAAACACACACAACTCAAACTCAATAAATCAAAACCCAAACCACCAAATATCATTTTGCAAAAGTAACAAGTGCCATCAATTTTTGGGGAATTTGATTCTTAGGTTCTAGGAGTTTGAAGAAAGAGATGAACGAGATGGAGAATATGAGGGCAAAATGGTCAACTTAATGGTTTTACGTCCTAGGGACAAAATGTATCATGAAAAGTAGTTTAAGGATGAAAAAGACAACCGATGAAAGTGATACAACATATCCATAGAAACCAATAAACCACAGGGTCTACTACAAGTGGTATGAATGCCTAGACCTTAAAAAACAGAAATTCCCTTTTTCAGGAAGGGTGAGATGTGATGAAAAATGGCATACCTTCTCCAATTCTTGTTGGTATAAATCTGTTCGATAATATGCAGTTGACAGCAGTAGATTAGGATTAAATGAACCAAACAGACTACAAAACAGCAAAGAAAAATGAAGTAAAATAGGCCGAGAAAACTTTAATAGATTTTTCAAAATGCAACATTTTTTTATACCTGATTAATGATGCATTGTCATACATATTGAGCCTCTCAAAGAAAGCTAATGTATAAAATGTGAATCGATCCACAACATATACACCAACCTATATGTATCACACAGAATTAGCAAGAGAAGTTAAAAATCATGGAGTATTTATGTATATCAAATTACAAAATTTTCACTCCTTCTTTCATTGGATAACATTTACATAACAGGAAGAAGGAACACAAACTTAACATCAATATATAAGCCAGTGTTCGCTTGGATGGAATGGAATCAGGAATAGTAATTACATTCCATGGTCATGTAGGAATGGAATAAATTTCATATGAATGCTATGTAAAGTTTTGACGAAAAACAAACCCATCTTCAACCATTCTACCTAAACCAAAAGTATCAAGATCCGAAAGCATGTCAGGGCGTTTAGTTTTCCAATCTAGCATCATTCATTGCTTCTCGGCAGCCAAGAAAATGGTTGTGATAGCAGCAAGTAGCAAGCTCCAATTAGGCAATTGATTGATAAAAGTTCTTGGAGCAGTTGATGTTGGGTTATCATCATTCTTCAGGAGCGAAGCATAACTTTAACATAAGCATTTCGTCGAACACTTTAGATGCAACAAAAAAAAATGGAAAATGAAGTTAGGAGCAAAGCATAACTTTAACTTTCCTCTTCCCTAGCTCCATTCCAACCTTTCCAAACCACCCTCATATTACTCCTCGTTCATCTTATTCATCGCCTCCTCCAACCACCATCCTTCACTGCCTCCTCCGATTTTCATGGACCCGATCCGCTACTTCAGCCTCCAAGCGGAGCCCTCAAGTCGATCAAACCACTCGGTGGTCTCGAATCTCACATGATGCATGCCATCGAGGACTTGAGCCCGGAGGGGGCTCTGTAAGAACCTTGATATCTTCTTCTCGACCTTCTCTATCTTCCGCAACAACTATACACGTTGGGGTTAACTCCATGTTGAGTAGTTGATCTGAGATACCAACTTGGTTGTATTATTCCTTAAGGATAAAGTAGTGGTGGAGGCGGATTAGGGTTTGCAGAGAAAATGAGAAGGAGAGAGTGAGAAGCGGGGTTTTAATTTTTTTGGGGATTTCATGCCGGAGTAGTTGATCTGAGATACCAACTTGGTTATGTTATTCCTTAAGGATAAAGTAGTGGTGGAGGCGGATTAGGGTTTGCAGAGAAAAGGAGAAGGAGAGAGTGAGAAGCGGGGTTTTAATTTTTTTTGGGGATTTCATGCCAGAGTAGTTGATCTGAGATACCAGCTTGGTTGTGTTATTCCTTAAGGATAAAGTATTGGTGGGGGTGGATTAGGGTTTGCAGAGAAAAGGAGAAGGCGGGAGTGAGAAGCAGGGTTTTAAAATATTTTTGGGGATTTCATTCCCCCCCCCCCCCCCCCCCCACTAAACACGCGCGTTCATTAAAATTATAAAGCGACACCCATAGAGGACGCGCATTTAAGATACAGCGCCCTCCGTCTTTTTAATTTTTTTTTTCTTATAACACTAATTTAAGGGCACTCAATAATGTGCGACCTAAATCCTAATTTTTTTTGAAGAGATGACACTTTTATAATGTCACTCTCTTTTGCGTAACATAAATCAGTGAATGTCGTGGTTTGTGCGTCGTAAAAGGGTCTTTTTCTTGTAGTGTCACCTCCTAGACATCAACCCACACTCCATTAAGATTTTATTTTTGAAGGTTTAGCTAAGGCCCGATGCACAATAAAAACAATCTAAGAGGTTGACCAAATAATTAATGTTTCGTCGAGACTAATCGCCCACAAATAAAGCATCATATGTGTAAAAGAAATGAAAAACACTAATAGACCTGATATTAAGACCATGAAATAGCCCCGCCTCAAATCAAGACCCTGATCCAGCTTAAATACCAAAGAAGTGCTGTCATTAATCAAGATAGATGTTTTGGAGAAGAAAAGGTAACCACGAATCCAACAGATCCATTTGGACCAGAAATCCAAAAAAATCATCATCTGACACAAGTAATCCGAATTAATTGTATCACATTCCTTCTCAAAATCTAATTTAAACACCATGAGTTTCTTCTTCCTCTTTATACACCAATCGGCAATCTAATTAACCATAAGCGGACTATCCAAATCCGTCTACCCGTCACAAAAATGTTGACTATCCATAGCTAGTTATCAAATTTATTAACGGAGCAAGACGAAGAGCTGGAACTTTAGTGATAATCCTATATTGGGCACCTATAAGACTGATTGGCTGAAAGTATGTAACAACCACAGGGCTAGCCACCTTAGGAATTAATGTAATAAGCAACAAATTACACCCCAAAGGTATCTTCCATATTTGAAAAAATTCACCCACAAAATTCATCACATCGCTTTTCAGCAACTCCCAGTAAGTGAAAGTAAAATCGATTGGTGGCTTTAAGTGAGTGAATTGGTCTCGATTAAAGCAAACTGTTTTGCATGGAGTTTGTTCCTCAACCGACTTCTTGTTGCTAGCAACTTGATGGTGAGAGGTTTTATTCCCCTTGACATTTTGCCTTTTCTACTTGACGGAAAATGAAGCCATTAATCATTTGCTTTTTGGTTGGTTTTGTTCGAAGTTCATATTGAGATTGCTTAGCTCACGATGTAATCTTCTTCCCTAATTCTTATGATTTGAAGGTGTGTTTTCACTCTACTTTTTCCGAGAAAAGATTGAGAGGTTGAGGACTAGTTTGATTTATTCGACCATTTTGTTAACTTTGAAAACCTTCAACTCCCTTGTTTTTGTTAACTAAAAAAACAACATTTGAAGACCTGAATGATATTCAACTCTTTTGTCTTACTAACAGGTGGATTAACATATATCTAAATAGTTCATAAAACTTAAATATTAGATGTTTTATTCATATTTATGTTTGTCATTTGTAATTTTTGTTAACGTCTATAGTCTTTATTTATAAATCCCGTCGTTAAAAAAAAAAAAAAAATCACGAATGGTCCTAATAGTTTTTAAAAAATGGCAATTTTAGAGCAACATTGGAAAAAGGTACAAACTAGTCCTTATGGTTATATTGTCTTGCATGGTTGGTGGTCTGTATCCATGTAAAATGACCTTTCTATCATTTTATAATATTTTAATTATTTTTTAATTAATAATAACGTTAGTTAATAGGGCCAAACAAATATATCGCACCCCCATTTGCCCACTCCCATTCCTCTTAACCTTGATTCTTGTGATGACAAAGCACCACTGTCGGACTGAAAGCCAACATAGCAAGAAGAATATCGTTCACAGTTTTTTTTATCAATAGTGATAATCTGAATTGAACTTTTTTTACCATTTAGAGATACTCCCATTTCATTAAAATATCACCTTTTCAGAACAAACGCGTGGAAGCAAATATACTTACGTCGATGTGAATTTAGATTCAATATAACACCAATATTCTCTTGATAGTAAAATTAATCAATGAAGATGTTGGAAATGGAAGAGAAAGAGGATCTAGAGGGTTAATAGATGCCTTAGGAAGACCATAGGGGAGTTTGGAATGAGGTTGGGGTTTTCTTAGTATGAGATAAATATAAATTGAGTAAATAATAAAAAAAATATATTTTTTATAAAAATAAACTAATAATTTTGGATATAACAATAAAATAAAACGACATTCAAAAGCATAAAAACCAACTTTATAACGAAATGAAACCATAGGAACCATTTTTAGAGTTTTCCAATCCACGTAAACAAATCCTAAATTTTTATAACATTTAATTCAAATCCATCAACTCGTCTAATGTTTAAAAAGTGTGGAAGAAAGACCACACTCCAATGGGGAATTCAAGAAAAATGAAATGAGATTGAAAATGGCCCAGCCCAAATCTAGTTTTGAACATATACGTCAATACGGATACCCATTTATTCATCAAACAAAGTTACGAATTTTAGCCTTTTAGGTAAACCCATTGATCCAACAAACAATATCATAGCTTAAAATTGTATTAAAGCATTGGAAATCTCCGATGCAAGTTTTTTAAAAAGATTTTTCTCGTAATTTAAAAAATTGTGATTTTTTAGGCAAAAGCTTTTTAGTAAGTTTTTTTTTATCCTATAAGTTATTTTCAGGAGATAAAAATGTTTTATATAAATTTATGCACTGGATAAAAACTTTTTAAATTTTTTTTTTTATCGTTATTCGAAAATCTAGCAGGAAAATACAATAAATTTTTACAAAAACTTATGCATCGGATATGATCGAAGAAGGTTAACATTTCAAAATTTTACCCCATATTTGGCAAACTAACTAATAAGTTAGTCTCTAATTTAAACCAATCTCTAATGATAAACATATAACTAAAAATTAATGTCATCTCAACATTACATTAATTTAAAGGATAATGACTTAAAAGAGAAATATATTTTTTGATTTCTACACATTTAGTAACTAAAATTTTTTTCGTCTACATTTAGCCCTTCAACTTGTTAAACTGTTCACATTCATTCCTTATGATCGGTTACTGTAGGTTAGCCGGGAAAATAACTTAATATGGTAATATATTTCTCATTTTGTACACATTTAGTCCGTAATATTTTTCTACACATTTAGTCTTTAATATTTTTTTGTTTCAAAATAAGTCATTTTTGTTTTTGTACTCATTTAGTACTTATGAATAATTTTTTTAACTTTTTCTTACACTTAAAGTTTTAGACGATTCATGATGTTACTATTGCTCATGATAGTTACAAACCAATAGAGGAACCGCTTTTTCAAACTGCAGTGTTGAACTGTTTTTAACATGAGAATATATATATATATATATATATATATATATATATATATATATATAGAGAGAGAGAGAGAGAGAGAGAGAGAGTTAGGTTCATATATAACTCATAATTATTGTGTGAATGTATGACCAAATGTGGTCCAATCATTTCATATGGATAACATAATAACTTTGTCAATTTAATTAATTATTACTAAAATTAAAAGTCTATAATTTAAAGTCATAGCATACATGATCGAGCCTACAGCGAATGCATAAGGTACTCAACTCATTTATGTTATCTCAGCCTCGGTACTCGACTTTGAGTATTGCTCAATCCGACGTTACTCTGGATGGGTAACTCTCCTTTCTTAGAATCTTGCATGTTGAACCTCTTCAACACCTTATCCAAGTAGGTACTCTAACTAAGTCTAATAAGTCTTTTACTCCGGTCTCTCAGAATCCTTATCCCTAGAATATAGGCAGCTTCTCCTAAGTCTTTCATAGAAAAACACTTCCCAAGCCAAGACTTCACTTCCTGTAAGGTTGGGATGTCATTTCCTATTAGTAGTATGTCCTCCACACACAATACCAAAAAGCTAACTATACTCCCACTAGCCTTGACATATACACAAGATTCATCTTCACTCCTCTAAAAGCCAAACTCTTTGACTTTCTCATCGAAACAAAGATTCCATCTTCGAGGTGCTTGTTTCAATCCGTAGATGGATTTTTCAAGGATACCCACTATATTAGGATATTCCGTACTGACAAAATCCTCTTGCTGACATATGTAAACATCTTCAGCCAAACTTCCATTAAGGAAGGTGGTTTTGACATCCATTTGCTATATTTCATAATCATGAAATGCAACAATAGCTAACAGGACCCTAATGGACTTAATATTTGCTACTGGTGAAAAGGTCTCATCATAATCAACTCCTGGAGTTAGAGAAAATCTCTTTGTAACCAGTCGCGCCTTATATGTGTACACTACCATCCATGTTGGTCTTCTTTTTGAAGATCCACTTGCACCCAAGTGTCTTACGACCTGGTGCATTGCCAACCAAGTTCCAAACTTGATTTTCATACATGGACTGTATCTCACTGTCCATTGCCTCTTTCCATTTAGCAGACTCGGGACCTGCCATGGCTTCCGCATAGTTGTTAGGTTCATCCAGACTTACCAGTGTCCCATTGCTGATAAATGTCTCACATTCC